AACCGGGCAACTGGAGCAAACACCTCTCCATGTTGTCAGTACTGCATTTAATTTAATTTTTATATGAAAAATTTCGGTGCTTTTTTGTTTTTTTTTTTTTATTGAAAATATAAATAAATAAATTTTAAAATGATTTGGTAATTAACAATTCAATAAGGTATCAAAGTAGACAATACATTTGTGTTTGATTCTCCCCACCTCCATATAATTGCAATAGTTGTACATTCTTGACTCACTTATTGAGGAGACACACAATAAAACATGTTAAGAATACAAATAATAAAATTAATTATTTGCTCCTTTCACATGTTGAGCTTTTAAAGGAGTTTGTAATAAACAATTCAACATCACCAATATTGTATTTATTAATGCATCAACTAAAGAGAAGTTTTACAATTTTTTCCCCCCAGGTGGTGGGTGGACATGGGCTTAGACAAAATGAGCTTTGCGAGAGACAGGTTGGTGGAACACTACCTTTGGTGCTCTGGAATGGTATTTGAGCCAAAATTTGGAGCTTTTAGAGACATGGGTGTTGGAAATGGTTATTTTTCCTCAAGTTTGGTCTATTTTTTAGGTGGGCCCCGAGTGTCGATTTACTCGGGTCAAAGTGGTAACGCGTTCTATGCCGCGTTGTGATTCACGTGGTATATTTGGTTGCTCAAAACCATTACCGAGTGAATGGGAAATTGAAGCCAAAGTGTGCTCCATGGAAATGGAGTTTTGGTGGAAATTTCTTAAGGTTGTAAATTGGCTTGTCCCACATTGATTTGGTAGGAAGTTTTGAAAGGGGTTATAAGGCTTAGGGGGAGATACTTGGGGGGTGCCCCAAGGGGTACCCAAGTGTTTTAGAGGGAGAGGTTATGGGCAAAATGGGTTAGACCCATTGGACCCAAAAATCACCACACGTGCACGCGCGCCGCGGGCTGGGCTGGGCCTGGGCTTGGGCGCGGGTGCGTGGTTGGGTTGGGCTTCTAATTTTTTTTGGGCCAAAAACATTTGAATTTAATTTTATTTTGTTAAAATAAAATCCAGAATTCAAATTAAATTGGTTTGGATTTTTTGTTCATCCAAACAGGGCCCTTCCCGTTTTCAAACAGAAATAAACTGTTTTGGAATTAAGGTACACCCAAACAGGGCCCTTCCCGTTTTACTATCTGTTTGAATTCAAAACCCAACAGGTATGATACCTGTTCAATTCAAAACAAAGAGTCACCTTCACATCTATAAATAGGACCACCCTCATTTGGATTTTGTAACTCTAATTTTCGTTCTTCATAATTCTGCAAACTTCCTCTTCATTTTGCTGCATTATTTTCTTGTTCAGAGAGAGTATAAACACTTAGTGTGTTCGTATGGCAAACAATTTGTAGTGCTGCTATTGTTTGTGGTAGATCATTTCATCCTGGGAGATAGACGTCTGAATTCTGAAAGCACCGTGGAGAGGACGAATCTGTCTTAAGGACACAGTGTCAAACACTGGACTTGAGATAGACGTGTGTTCGTAAGGCAAACAGTTTGTAGTGCTGCTATTGTTTGCAGTAAGATCATTTCATCCTGGGAGATAGACGTCCAAATTCTGAAAGCACCGTGGAGAGGACGAATCTGTCTTAAGGACACAGTGTCAAACACTGGACTTGATCAGAAAATAATTCGAAGAAATTAAATCAAGTAAGTTATTTAATTTATTTTCAGTGTTGTTTTTATTTATTTAAATCAGATTTTAATTTTGTTTTTGTAACAAAATAAAATCTGTTTTTATTTATTTATTTTTATTTCGAGTTTGATTTTTATAATCAAACAAATTCTCTCATTTTCTTTATTTCTTTAAATTCTATTTGTTGTTGTGTACTCAATAGAATTAAATCTTTTAAATACAATGAACATTGTCCGACAAAAATATGTTAAAAATACATGTACTAGTGTATATTCGAGTAATATCCTCCATAAAATCTTCTTCAGCACATACATGATTGCTAGGCTGACTCGGTAGGTATCCATCTGTCTGATCCAATCTCTTTTTCTATTCTATTTTTAGTTTACAGTCGTTTTATGCCACGTAACCTAGATCAGCTTGCCAGGTTCGCCGCAACTCGTTCCTCCGCGTCTGACTCATCATGGGTCCAATCTTATACTATAAATAAGTCTAAACATCAACTAATGATTCACAAAACAAAACCAAAAAAAAGCACCTGAAGACACGGGTTGTTGTGGTAGAGGTCTAACAATAGCAGAGTCCATGGCAAGAGCAATGGTGAAAATTCCGATTTACCGACGCAATTCAGATGAGATTGTTAAATATTCCGGCAGACAAGAAAGTCTTGCCGACTTGATTTTCCGGTTTTTGGAAGAAGGCCATGAGTTGTCGTCGGGTAGCTCTTGCAATTCCAGCAAAAGTAGCAATTATGGTGGCGTAGACGACATGGTTGTCGATGATGATGAGCTGGTGGATGATAATGTTAAAAGTGTTGAGGAGGACAAGGCTTTTTGGGAATCCAAAGACCAACTTCTCCAGGTAATTTAATTTTGATTTTCATGTTGGGGAAAAAGGGTACTTTTTGTAGGCAATTTACTTTTTCGTAGGCCCATATAAAGTTTTTAAATGTTGAATTAACATATGGTCCATTTTTTGCAGGCAACCTTGTGTAGGACAACTTCAATTGAAACAAAAATCAGGCATGCCACAAAAGAAGCTCTGAGGGAATTAAATTTGGGCGGTAATGATTGTGCTTGTCCAAGACCAGTGGCCGATGGTTGTCGGAATTGCCTGCAAAGAAAAATTTCTGACTGCCTTCGAACGGCTGGTTACAACTGTGCCGTTTGCAAATCCAAGTGGAGGAGCTCACCAGATATCCCCAAAGGTACATAATCACTTACATGTCAACCTTTTAATTATTTTGAAGATGATATATGGCGCTCGTTTCTCACCCATCTATGTTGTGTTACTAAAATCGATTGTACATTTTTAATTTTTTTTCCAGGGGAGCACACTTATTTGGAAGTGTTGGATAGCTCTAACTCAAAGAAAAAGGAAGTTAGAGTGGTTATTGAGTTGAATTTTAGGGCCGAGTTTGAGATGGCCAGAGCTAATGAAGAATACAATCGATTAACTAGTCGGTTGCCTGATCTGTTTGTTGGTAAAGCTGAAAGGTTACAAGCCCTAATTAAGATATTGTGTTCATCAGCTAAGAAATGCATGAAAGATAGAAAGATGCACATGGGGCCATGGAGAAAGCACAAATACATGCAAGCTAAGTGGCTCAGCACATGCGAGAGGATAGTGCCACCAATTCAACCGGCGGGATTTTCAGGACAACTGCCTAAGCCTAGGGTCTCCGTGCTAACCTTCGACTTGGTAGAGAATTTACCCATTTTGCAATGTACAGCAGTTAATTGAAGTTGTGTGATCACTGTGACCAAAAACAAGTTGTGTCCCAATTGTTTTTAAGTTTTGTTTGCCTGGGAGGCATTTGAGTGAATATTCTAAAGAGGGTTGCAGTCAAAGGTTTTTAGAGTAGTATTGGAAGATTAATTTATCGTTTAAGGCTATGGATGTAAATACAATTTATATGATTAGGGTCCTCCAAGTGCCGAATAACACCCTCCGAGAGGAGGTGATACATAAGTTATGCTAGCTAATAAAGAAAAAAGATTGGGACCATCTTTTTGGGAACCCCCACCACCCCAATGCATTGTAATTGGTTAACTTTTTATTTTTTTCTACCCTATATATGTGTCTGTGGAAGTTGTGGGGATAAAAAAAAAGGGGGGTTCTATATCATTTCAGGCCAATAAAATGCCTTTAATTTAGTCTGATCAATTATACACTAGGATCTTATTAATATAGCTCACAAAAAATATATGAAATAATTCAAATAAATATTAAGAATGACTGATATAGATTTATCTATTTGTTTTCTTACTAGAATTTTAAAACACTTGCGTTAATTATCTTTTACCAAAAACGAACTTCTTTTTTGCTAAATTTACTTTAGTCCTTCTAAACAAAAAGTTTTGACTTCATCTCCTTGATTTAGGATTGATTTTTTATCCAATAAGTTTGTTTAATATTAGCCTATGATCTATTCGGAGGTTTAGATCTGTCAAATCCATTTAGAATATTACCGTTAAGTTGGCTAAACGACCATCCAAAGATATGTATAGCAGCGAAAATTGAAATTTAAAAATAAAATACTAAAAATTGAAAGTTGATTTTTTTAATTTCAAAATCTGTTTGGTATTTGTGCAAAAATATCCTAAATTTAATTTAATCATTTCATAAATACAAGAAAATAAAATTTAATTTTTTTTATTTTTGAGGTAAACAGTAACATGGTGATGATGGCAGCAACAACAATATTAATGGCGTTTGTAGAGTGATAGTGGCCATGATAGGTGAAAAAGATAATGGTGGTGATCGTGGTGGTGGATGTGAATGGGCGGTGGCAAGGGCTGTAGAGGTAGGGATAATTAAGGTAGCAGAGTGACTGTGTGAGTGAATTTCTGTCCACACTGTCAAACTCAGTATTCAGCTGGAGAGCACTGACAGAATAGATGACACCTGACTGACTTGCAACAGAAAGAGAAGATTCCGGCGGTGGTTCGTCCACCTGGGGGCACTCCGATGATTAAGTTAGTATATCTCAAAGATAATCAATAGTACTAATCTCACTGTTCAGAATATAAATTACGTACCTCAGACCCATGAGGGTGCCTCTCTTTTATAGCCAACTCAATCTTAGCCCTAATAGAAGCCTAGCATCCATGGACTTTTAGCTCAATGCTCATCCTGGACTCTCCAACGGATAAAAATAAACTCTCTAAGAGATTTATCCTTATCTAAGCTGAGATCCTTCTTCATTCTAGGACTCTTGTGCCTTATCCGCTTATCTCGGATTCCGATATCTTCGGAGGTAACCTCGGCCTAGCCGAGATAACCTCGGCATCACGACCGGGACACGTGGCACCTCGGCTGACACATCGGCGTCACCTTGGCCATGTGTTGGTACTCAGAGAATATATCCCCACAACTGCCCCCTAGGTTTTATTACCTCAGCAATCTGAGGTGATGAAATCTATACCAGAACTTCCTTCCAGTACGTCGGCTTAAAATTTCTTTAGCCAAGATCATCATATAGGCTGACATGTCTTTTTTAAAGAACATGAATTTCAAGAGCTCCTTCACGCGTATGAGCTATCGTACACAATAACTCAACCGTTTTAGCCACGCGTCTTCCCCTTACTGGATCGTACTTGATACGCATTTGTAAATCGTCTTACGCCTGTGTGCGCCGTCTGAAGCACACGTTGTTTTAGACGCATTAATTACCTTTTTGCCGCCGTTTCGAGTTTTGACAAAACTTCTTTCTCCTTTCGTCTTTTCACTTTACATCATCTTTGTTCAAACTCTATCTCTTACTCTCTAATCCTCCATTGTTCCAAGCTCTGAAGCTCTGCTGCCACCGCTATTTCACTTCTTCCGACGAGGCTCTTTTTCTGCTGCCGCCGTTCGTCTGACTTCGGCGATCTCAACACCAGCTTCCCCTCTTCGGTGAGTTACTGTTTCCTCCCGATTTAACTTCTCGTTTCAATTTTGGATGGTATCTTGAATCTCTGTCATTTTTGCGAACTTGCCTATGACCTTGATTAGTCTAATCTGTTCATGTATCTGAGTATGGTTGCCCCGCGATTCTGTTTTTGCCCAATCTTTTCTTGAGTATTCACAACCTGCACACACATTTGTTCACTTTTGCCATTGTTCTTGGCCTTGTACCCTTGCACACACTCTGTCATAGTGTTCTTGGTAATTCATCATTGTTCTTGATTCTGAAACACGTTCTTGTTTTCTGTTTCCTATGTCTTTTCCAGATTCCTGCCTTCAATCTTTGTTCCCGTAGATCTAGGTTTGGGATTTGTTTGTAGAACCCACAAATTCTTAGGAAAAACTGAAATGTATTCAGTCGTTAATTTTAGCCGAGGTCATTCAAAATCATCACAAAACATTCCCTTCCGAAGTCTCACACCTTTCACTTAAGCCGATATTATAGGTATGCGGAGGCATAGGGTAGACACCCTGACCAAGCTAGAATACTTTAGGCGAGAGTTTTCCATCCCTGCCGACGTAAATCTGAGGTTAGCTGGGGAGGATGATTCTATCATGCCCACAGCTGATTCTATGCCCCTCCCAGTTGTAGCTTTCATCGAGTGCGGACTTCGGCTCCCACCCGATATCCTTTTTCGTGAGATAATCCATTATTAGAAGTTGAACCCAATGCAGCTTGACATCAATTCCTACCGAGTCATAAATGGTATAATTGCCTTAGCCAAACAAGAAAATGCTAGGGTTACCTTAGCTGACATCCAATATTGCTATACCACGTGTGGCCTCAAAAAAGATACAGGCTATGTTTACTACCTCAAACCGAGGTCCACGGAGTACAAAATTATTGCCGACCTCCCAGACTTCAACAAGGGAACTGGGGATGATTACTTCATTACCTCGGGAAACTCGAACAGTTTTTGTAGAGGGTAATGGTAAGAGCCCTGTGCTCATACTTACTTGTTTTTAAAGTCTTCAATACTTTGTTTATTCTAATGTCTATTTTTTCTTGCAGCTCTTCCAAAACCAGAAAAAGGCTTCCGAAAGTATTTTTTTCCCCAACAAAGGTCTGAAGAAGCTACTGGACCTTCCAGTCCACAAGCGCAAAGCTCCCCTGCTACTCAACTTCATCCCGACCTATAAGTCGGTTCTTCCAGACGTTCCAAAGAAGAAAAAGAAGAGTTTGTCTTCTCTTTCCGCCACAACTCCTCAAGCTGCCTCCACATCTCGGCCAGATCAAGGATCGACTTCTGATCCAGTAGAGTAGCCGTCAACTTCGGCTCCTTATCTGATCCCAATATCCCAACACCAACGCTGGCGACGAACTGTTTTTGTTGCTGAGATGGGCCGCCAGAAGGCAGTTGCTAAGGATCTTTTGGCCAATATTCCTGACGAAGTTGGTGATCAACCAGCACAAACCTAGCCTCAACCAAAGCTGAAAAAATGCCTGAAGAAGGCTCAGTCAAAGGTAACGGTGACTCAGATTGACACTGAGGATACCTTGCCAATCTCAAAATTGGCTGAGAGTGATAAGTCCAATTCTGCTGCTGAAAAGAGGCCTGCCGAAACCCAACCATCCGAGTCTGCTAGATCCCAGAGACCGAGGTCATCCTCTGCAATCACCTCGGGGTCTTTGAAGCATGCTTCCCCCTGGGCCTCCCAGATCACATTGGAGGACAGGCCAGTCAGAGCTGGTGATAGCGCCGACGATGTTAATGTCTGCGTCGCCCTTAGTACTGCTCTGCTTCTTCCCGGCGATCTCAACCTAAACGCCGATATGAGCGAGTATGAAAATTTTGCCCTGATGCTCCAGCACTCTATTCAAGTAAGTCTTTATACCTGGTATCTTTCTTTTTTTTCTTTTGTACTTTGAAAATTTTCTAATAACTTCAGCTCTGTTCACTTTCAGGCCATCCAGCATGCTCATTCTTTCTCACTGCAAGCGTTTGAGAATCGGAAGGAGCTGGCCGACAAGAAGAGAGAGGCTGCTAGTCTACAGAAGACTAATAAAAACTTGCAATCAAAAATGAAGACCTTGGAGGATCAAGCCGAGGCTGCTATCAAGGCTAAGGATGATGCCGAGGAAAAAACAGAATCTGCTGAGGCCATCAAGAAGGTTCTTGAGGCCGAAAAGAAAGAAGCTGAGGAAAAGATGACCCAGGCTCAGAAGGAACTTCAAGAAGCCCTGGCCACAAAAGAGGCAGAAGTCAAGGCCACCAATGAGAAGGGATACAATGAGGGGGTGGCCGACGTCACGGCGGATTACGAGAAATAAGTAAAGCATGCATGCAACAAGGGTTTCACCCTTGGTTGAATGACTTTACTTAAAAAGCTCGAAATCCCCGATGACTGATGACTCCCCCCTCAGGAATACCGACGTCCTTTCTCTACCATTCCCCCCGACTCCAAGCCATTCCGACGACGACTCTGAATCTGAAGAGGAGGTTTTGGTGAAGAAGCCAAAAGACGCTGCTGGGGCCAAGTCCTTTTCTCAAAATGAGCAAGTCCTGGACTTGACTCAAGATGAGGAGGGTGAGGAGGTTCCCATGAATACTGCACCTCAAAAGGCGATATTGGACGTGCCTATTGCCGACAAGAGCCTTGATCGAACCCTGCAGGAAATAGATGTCGAGCTCGCAGCTGAGAAGGCTGTCGAGATGTCTACCCAGCAGTCTTCTGAACTTCAAACCCAACCATCTACTGTTGCTGAAGAGTCTTAATTTCGATGTCCCTTTCCTTTATACTTTGTACTTTTGTTTTTCTTCTTTTGGGACAATTGTAAGCTTTGGCCGACATGACTCCTTTTGAATGTTAGTACAACTTTTTTGTTTTGCTTGCATATTTGTCTTTCCTTTGCTCCTTTTGTATGATTCCATACTTTAGAATATTTTGCATATCTTCAATGCACACCTTAGTCTTGTGCCACCTTCTCGGGGTGACATACCTCGGTTATACAAGCCAATGGTGTACCTCGGCAAGTACATAAGTACCTTTCCTGGTACAATCTTGTAAACTTTTCTCAAGTTTCAACAAGTGTTAAACATAACCGTAGTTTAACTTCAACTTGTAAATTTTTCACAAATTTCAACAAGTGTTAAACATAATCTCGGCTAACTTCAACTTGTAAATTTTTTACAAATTTCAACAAGTGTTAGGCGTATCCATAGTTTAACTTCAACTTGTAAATTTTTCACAAATTTCAACAAGTGTTAAAAATTACCTCGGCTAACTTCAACTTGTAAATTTTTCACAAATTTCAACAAGTGTTAAACATTATCTCGGCTAACTTCAACTTGTAAATTTTTTACAAATTTCAACAAATGTTAGACGTATCCATAGTTTAACTTCAACTTGTAAATTTTTCACAAATTTCAACAAGTGTTAAATATTATCTCAGCAAACTTCAACTTGTAAATTTTTCACAAATTTGAACAAGTGTTAGACGTATCCATAGTTTAACTTCAACCTGTAAATTTTTCACAAATTTCAACAAATGTTAAACATTATCTCGGTTAACTTCAACTTATAAATTTTTCACAAATTTCAACAAGTGTTAAACGTATCTATAGTTTAACTTTAACTTGTAAATTTTTCACAAATTTCAACAAGTGTTAAACATTATCTCGACTAATTTCAACTTGTAAATTTTTTACAAATTTCAACAAATGTTAGACGTATCCATAGTTTAACTTCAACTTGTAAATTTTTCACAAATTTCAACAAGTGTTAAACATTATCTCTGCAAATTTCAACTTGTAAATTTTTCATAAATTTGAACAAGTGTTAGACGTATCCATAGTTTAACTTCAACCTGTAAATTTTTCACAAATTTCAACAAGTGTTAAACATTATCTCGGTTAACTTCAACTTGTAAATTTTTCACAAATTTCAACAAGTGTTAGACGTATCCATAGTTAACTACAACTTGTAATTTTTTCACAAATTTCAACAAGTGTTAGACATTATCTCGACTAATTTCAACTTGTAAATTTTTTACAAATTTCAACAAGTGTTAAACATTATCTCGACTAATTTCAACTTGTAAATTTTTTACAAATTTCAACAAGTGTTAAACATTATCTCGACTAATTTCAACTTGTAAATTTTTTACAAATTTCAACAAGTGTTAAACATTATCTCGACTAATTTCAACTTGTAAATTTTTTACAAATTTCAACAAGTGTTAAACATTATCTCGACTAATTTCAACTTGTAAATTTTTTACAAATTTCAACAAGTGTTAAACATTATCTCGACTAATTTCAACTTGTAAATTTTTTACAAATTTCAACAAGTGTTAAACATTATCTCGACTAATTTCAACTTGTAAATTTTTTACAAATTTCAACAAGTGTTAAACATTATCTCGACTAATTTCAACTTGTAAATTTTTTACAAATTTCAACAAGTGTTAAACATTATCTCGACTAATTTCAACTTGTAAATTTTTTACAAATTTCAACAAGTGTTAAACATTATCTCGACTAATTTCAACTTGTAAATTTTTTACAAATTTCAACAAGTGTTAGGCGTATCCATAGTTTAACTTCAACTTGTAAATTTTTTACAAATTTCAACAAGTGTTAGGCGTATCCATAGTTTAACTTCAACTTGTAAATTTTTTACAAATTTCAACAAGTGTTAGGCGTATCCATAGTTTAACTTCAACTTGTAAATTTTTTACAAATTTCAACAAGTGTTAGGCGTATCCATAGTTTTCCTAGACCGTGTAGATTGCACAAGAAATGCATAACAATGCAAGTGAACTTGAAATGCGCAACAACGTGCGGCTTAAGATATGCATGATAATGCCAACGAACTGTGCACATCAATGCACTAAAGGTTTTGCACCTTCCAAGGATTTAAGGTCTCCTAGACCGTCGAGCACGACAAACACCGAAGGTCTTGCACCTTCCGAGGATTTAGGGTCTCCTAGACTGTGCATATACCTGTGCGGCTCGTCTGGTTGCACCAGCCTCAAATGAACCGTACTAAGCATGCAATAAATGGCCCAAGTACTTGAAGCAAGTCAAAGGGGGCTTGAACCATGACCAAGTCAACCAAGCCTCACAAGGCTAAGAGGACTTAAAATAGGTTCAAGGCAGACCTAGACCATGCAAAGGGGGCCCCCTAGATGGCATCTAAGTGGCTCAAATTCAAAGGCACGTACGATGGCCAAAACATGGAATATGCTACACAAGCTTTCAAAGCATTAAAGAGGTGTCCAAGGCAAGCATACAAGCATGTCAAAGGGACTGAAATTGCATGAAAAATGGTCCCAACCCACTAAATTAAGGCAAGGATACATGCTATACATTCACACACTTAAGGCCAACAAGCCAAAAATGCAAAGGGGCTATACAATGCATGCCATGGCCAACCCAAACAACTATTTACAGACCTCTAGCATGGTAAAATAAGCATAGAAGCTTCACAAAACTAGGCCTAAAACAAGCTAGAACAAAGGTTTACAACCTAAGGCATGTTAGGGCCTAAACATGGCATTACAAGGTAGGTATGCTAAGCATGCATGGTGTACCAAAACCAACAATAAACAGAGGCATATTATGATATAATAGGCACAAAAAATAGCCAAGGCATGGTCAATATGAGGCTTAGCTAGATGCTCCCTCAAGAGGCCAAAAATGGTCCATTTCAAGGACAATAAGGAGAAAGGGTGACCCTCTCCTTCTTGGGACCTCAAGGCACCATCCTCACCTCTGAAATCCCTCAAGATTTCAGTGGTGAGGAGGCCCAAACACCAAGGTCTCGGAGCTCACTCAAAATAGCACAAAATGGGGCCTCTCAAGGCCTAAGAGGGGTCAAACACCTCCAAACCACAAAACACTCTAAACAAACTATTTAGAGGGCCTAAAAACAGAACTTGTTTATGTTATACACTAAGCACAAAAACAGCTCTAAGTTAGGTAAAAAAACAATGCAAAAATAGGGAATAAAGGGACTAGTTTCTTACCCTTGAAGACCCCTTCAACAATGGTGGACCAGCAGCCTCTTTTAGGTTGAAACCAGCTCCAAAACCTCAAAAACAACCTCTTAGAACCTCAGTAGCTGAGGAAAGGTGAAACACTATGTGTTTGTGTGCAATAGTAAGACACAAACACACTTGAACACACACAAAGGTAAAAAGAGAGAGGTATAGAGATAGAATGTGTATCAATCCTAACCCTAGAACTCAAAACCCTAATATGGCTGTCTAAAATCTCTAAAGTGTCTAACCCTAAGCAAGGGAGAGAAGGGCTCCTCTTATAGAGCTTTTTGTCTTGTAAATCTTACAAGACAAGCTTCTAAAGAGGGAGATCCCTCCATAGCCAGATGCAAGACAACTGTAATAAAATATCTGCAAAAGCAGATGAACAGTAGTCGGCTGCCCAAAAATGCCATTTTGGCAAAATGGAGTGCCGACCGGCAACAAAGAATGCCGACCGGCAATATAGATTGCCGATGGCAGCAAAACACCAACCGGTGGCCTCTAGCCCTGGCCGGTGATGTGTGGAGATGCCTCACAAGGCATGCCCTACCCCTCCAAGGCAAAACACAAGTGTTTGGTGCAAAACCAGACACTAAACAGTCAAGTTCGGAGATCCTGAGGCAAGGGGCGTAGCCGAGACCTCCGGGAACTCCAAACGAACACAAACAAGGGTAATCACCAAGTGTTCCAATGGTGACGTCCAAGTCTTGAGGACGGTCAAAAATGGGGTGTCTACAGCTGGTTGGTGTATCTGGTGTGCGAACTTCTGACATTTCTCGCATCTCTTGACATACTTCTTAGAATTTACTTGCATGTATGGCTGCCAATGTCCTTGTGAGATTGTTCTGTAAGCGAATGATCTTCCTCCTTGGTGGCTTCCGCATGTGCCTTCGTGTATCTTGAACAAAAATGCCTCGACCTTGTTGGGATGGACACATTTCAAGCAAGGTCTTGTGAAGGATTCTTGTATAATGCCAATGATGGAGAGAGCCAAAATCATTTTGATTTTGCTCTAATTTTGTTAGCCTCTTTCTTTTTTTCAGGCAGGATGCCATCTTTTAAGAACAGTATGATGGGGTCCATCCATGAAGGGCCTAGTTCGGCACAGCATGCCTCAGCTACTTCGGGTTCTTCAATGCTTGGTCTGGGTAGGAAGTCGATCAGTAATGGATGTGGGATAGATGTATCTGCCATTGAAGCAAAACCTGCCAGCTCGTCTGCTCTATTATTTTCTTCTCGACCAATTTGCTCTATCCGAACTACTTCAAACTTCATGATCTCTTTTCTGACCAACTCTTGGTACTTAGCCATCCT